CCCCAAAACCCCAAAACCCCAAAACCCCAAAACCCCAAAACCCCAAAACCCCGTGGGATATATGAAAAATAGAATATTTATTAGCAGCCATTAAAGATGTTGACTCCATTCCTCGGAAAAAGCAAAGGCAAATTACTCAACTTAGTTGAACGGAAAACCAGACATATGATGTACAGCGAAACAGTAGCATACAAAGGAGCGTTTTTATAACTTCTGTTAGAGAGAAACTTCTGCCTTATTATAAAGGAGGAGTAGAAATAGATCCACAACAGGAAGAGGATATCATTAGAGAAGTCTATGACGAGGTCAACGACCTCTTCATAGACGAACACTGGATGATCTCAAACGGAGATTTATTAGAACAAACCTTTGCCATGCTTAGTCCTCTCAAGAAGATATGGTATCTCTAAAAACTAACTTTATCTATAGAACTCATAATAAGCTAAAATGGTATACAGATGAAAATTATGATCTAATGCATCCAAATGACTTTCAGATTCACCTCAGGTCTGAAGATTTAGTTAAAGAAGAGAAAAGTCTCTGGGAAGTCAAGCCAGAATTGCTTGATTATCTTAAATAAAGAAGTAAGCATCCAAAGTAATATTCTTTAGGTGGGCCATATAGTCGAATACAAGCAGTCTAATATTGACCATCATGAAGCAGGAGATGGGATATTCGTAAAAACTCATAATGGACAGAGTCTGCTACCAGGAACTTTACTCGGTTTTTATCCTGGAGTTATTCGATCTCAATTTACGAAATTGCTTCAACATAATGAAGAATCTATGAATTTTAACATTAAAAGGTATGATAGCTTTTGGATAGATTCTGAAGCTCTTTTACCTTACCCAGCAAAGCAGAACTTATCTTTATCTGAATTAAAATAAAAGTGTTAATTTTTTGAATTCTGCTATCGGTGGTGAAGATTGTATTGAATTCGTTGATCCAGAATATCTGAACCCCTATGCTATTGGGCATAAGATAAATCATCCTCCTCCAGAAGTGGCTGCCAATGCAGAACTGGTTGATTTTGATATACCTTACACATGGTTCCCTGAAGAATATAGAGTTCATCTTCCTTACATAGATGAAAAAGATTTTCATGGAGAAGAATCTATAGCCAGGAAAAATATACTTAGAGGTGTAGCAGTACTCGCATCCAGATTCATTGAAGATGGCGAAGAAATCTATTTTGACTACCTGAAACAGCCTATGGCTTGGAGGAACATAACTGAGGACTGGCTGGTGCTCTCACCTCCTAGCTCACCTTTATTGCAAAAGAAAAAGTTAACTACAGAGGTTCCTCTCTTGTTCAAAATTATGCTAGGAATTCGAGATGTAAGTCCTTTTATACTTATCTTAAACCTTCAATAGTTGAAATTGGGAGAGAAATTCGATACTTGGTACGAAAGAATCGAAGCTGAGCCGCCCTCCTTTGAATTAAAATCACGGAAGAAAGTTACCAAGAGTGTTAAGGAAAGACTTGCTCTTAAACAAGAAGAGGAACAGAAGCGGATCTCTGAAGGAAAGCAGGATGAAAAGGAATAAAAATATATCAATATTTATGAGACTCTTAGGGGTTTTGGGGTTTTGGGGTTTTGGGGTTTTGGGG